GCAAAATGACTAATATGTGAATAATACATAGACATAGTGTGTGTGTGTGTGTGTGCAGTGCACTCATTATTTCGTTCTGTTAAGATCACATTATGTTACCATGGTGATCTTTGTTATGATTTAAAAGATTGTTTTATTAATTATATATATACAGTAAAAATACCCAAAAAAGCATACAGCATATTACTGTATATTTCATACCATATAATGATACTTATGAAAAGGCTATATAAATCCAGTAAGTTTCGGGTAAGGAGATATCAAATATGACGAATTGTTGATATTAGATGGTTAGAGGCAATCGGTAGGATGTTTTGGTCCTAGGTTGCGTCCTAGTTAGCACTTGTTAACAAGGCGTAGTATCCCCAAACTTGAAGGAACTTATGTCCCTTCTGAGAACCTAACATTGCAAGTTTGACTGATAGAATTCAGTCTGCCCCAAAGATAGGACTAGACACATAACACTAGTTGCTGACTAGTGTTCATTCAACAAAAAATGTAAAACGATATATGTGATTACCAATTACGAAAACTAGCAACCAAGATCCACGGCCGACAAAAGTGGCCGCAAAACATCCTATCAAAACCGTTTGATGAAACAGTTATTTTATTATGCAAACAAGTATATTTAGGCTAAACCTCAGTGGGTAAGAACTGATGAGGAATCCCAAACTAGGACGAAACATATTATTATCTATTTATTTTAATTTTATTCCTTTCCATTCATAATATAACACAGAGCTTCAAGGTTGAGCTTTGAAGCTAAAGTGGCGGTAGTGTTTTTTTCTTACAGGATGAGGTTGCTAGCCCAACAATTCCCTCTTTGATCGATTGATTTTTGTTTAAACTGAACTCTGTACAAGTATGTTAAAATTGTTGTTGTAGATATATATTCAATAATGTCTTTGCCATGTAAGCAGCTGACGAGAAGGCAACGAAATAAAAGATGGTACCATTTTATTCTGCTAAAACTGTAGTTCTTGCTTTGTTCAAATTCATTAAGGGGGATAAATGTATGAAATTCCCTCTTTGTCTGGCATATTACCGGTTAAAACGTGGTTTAAGACTACGTCAATCGCGATCTGAACCCAAGACCATGTAGGTGGTTGGCTAGCACTCTACAGCTGCACCGCCAGCACATCTTATTCTTTATAGTGGGCCTTTATTACTTGTCATTCTATCGAATATAACGAATAACCCTCAAGTAACACTTAAAATATTAAGACCATTTGAAACAGACATAGCACACAGGCCGACACACAATCACTTCATTTGATATTATGTATACCACAGTATCCAACGGCAAATAAATACAAATTTAGTACCATCTACAAAATTGATTACATAAATTGTGATGAACACCAAACTAGTCAAAGTGGGTGCCCTACTCGACTCAGAATCCAAGATCACAAATTGGCTGTAAAAAGACACGACATATATTCCTTCATATCAATGCATATAGACAATTATAGACACCTATCTGATTAATAAATATGTAAAAATTCTTAACAGTGAAAACACTAAAAGTAATGCCAGGGAATTTTCAGAACCCTGATACTCAGATGAATCAGCTACTAGCAAAAGCATTACAATAGATCAAATTTACCAACTAATGAAGAATAAACCACAAGACAAGCAAGTTCAAATTGTAAGTCAATAAAACTGATCAATAAAGATGTAAATTAACAATCACCAATCAATAAAAAGATTGTCAGGAGATACAATTATACCACTGATGGAGGCAGAATTCAAATAAATTCACTTCATATTAAAGTTTTCCCTGAAGATGTTGTGTAAAAGCACACCGAGGGTTTCACAATTAAATCAGCCAGCTCAGAGAACACAACCAAGTGAAAATTAACAATTCTTTATAAACACGAAGATAAACTGTATTACAGCCACCCTGTATGAGCTTACCATATGACCTTGAACAACCAATCACAATGAAGGAATTTCAAGACTAATTCAATATTGTATTCCAAATATATATATATATATATATATATATATATATATATTGACAGCTTAGTTCAAGTGTGTTCATAACATGCTTTAACGGAATGACATAAGTAATACATTATAATATAGATGATATTTTACATTATAAGGAGATATTTTACAAGGCATTCATTTTGACGGCTTCATTGATATATATATATATATATATAGGCTTCAGACTTCAAATTTAAACATATTAAGATAGCATTTTCCTATTACGATTTACGGCTTATTTCATCAAGAGTCACTCATTCAAACGAAGAGTATTTAGGTTATGCCATGTTATTGTTCGCTTAATTCTCTTTTATAAGCCTTGAGAAAGTTCACTAGTGAAGCATGATAAGAAGTATGCTAATATGTATAGAGTAATAGACTCTATACATATTATACATATACACACATAATATATGCGTGGCATCCATGAAAAGTAAAATAATTGATTGCTTGGGTTGATTAACAGGATCATCGTGGTGACTGCTATAGTTCTATCTGCAACTGTGTCATATAATTCGACTTTTTATCACCATCTATTCCTCTATGATGTGTAAAGCCTGAAGATTCCAAATATGCAAAGGTAATTTTTTTAAAACCAGTTACAATGATCAACAACCCCCACAAAAAAATGTATATTAGAACTATAAATTAATTGGACAATTGTTAGAGTCAAACTGTATTGTATTCTGGAATTTTTTTTACTCTAAAATCACTCAAAACACTGACCAGCTCAATCAATGGTATATTTATAGCGTACTGATGAAAAGTCCGAAAATAGGACGAAACAGCTGTTTAGTTCCCCCAGGTTTTTCAGTGACCACTCCAACTGATGTCACCTCGTGACCAGTCCTGCAGTCAGTCGAATCCCTGGGAATCAACACGGCAATATGAATTGTAGTAAATATGAAGCATATTCTTGGATGTAATAGGAAAATGCTGGGCCCAATGATTCAAGCAGGCAGGAATATTCATTTAGTAAAGCATGACAGTGAAACTATATAATTGGCACCATACTTATGAGATGTATACAGGATTTTCATCATGAGCTGACATTAGTCAGAGAACCATTGGAAAACCTGGGAGTACTGGACGACTGTTTTGTCCTAGTTTGGAACTCTTCATCAGTACACCTCACTGGGGTTCGAAACCAGGGCCTTCTGGTTCCAGTGACTTAATGGTATACGAGCATGTCTGGGTTCGAATCCCAGTGGGTGCGTACTGCTGAAGAGTCCCAAGCTAGGACGAAACAGCTGTCCAGTACTCCCAGGTTTTCCAATGATTCTCTAACTAATGTCAGCTCAGGATGAAAATCCTGTAACCAATGGTATCCCTACAAACTAACGCTTGAATATTATGAGATGTATGTTGACAGAAGGATGGGAATGCTGAACAGATTAAAGTTATTTTTGAGTTAGAGGACATAAATTTGCACGCTGTTGCGTTCGAGCCTGTCAAATGTTCTTTTATGTAACATATGCCCTCTAATTTAATGACAAATCGCTAACCTTTTCATTCCAAGCAGCCTATCCTATGAATTCGAGACCAACTTATGGGGGGAGGGGGTGATACAGATAATATGCACCAAAGGAATAGAATATTATTCTCACATATTCCCACAGTTCAATTCGGCATTAGCAACAGAATACGATGTATCTATTTTAAAACTCTATTTGATGTTAGAGACAGAATACAATATACAATTGGCTCTCATGTCCTGCTTTCTTTTGTTACAATCTTACTTACTCTTGCTTAAGTTGATCAACATTCACTCGGCCACAGCCTAAATGGAAGTGTGGTGTCTGCGTATCCAACAGTTGACATTCATTTGGAAATAATTTCCAAACTACTTATACTTCTTAGTAGTATATTATGTTGACTTAAATCTGGTCTCAGCAACTAATTGAAGTTTAGTTAGTTATCAACTGAGTTGCACTCATCCTCCTCTTCTTGTTATCGTATACAAATGGTCTCACATTCCCCTATATCGATTTAAGACATAAAAAGAAATACTTGATAAGTATGCTACCATAGTGATATGTAGGTGAGAGTATTTATCTCCCTTAATAATCTCAATATTACGCCAAACCTGAACTCATGAGCTGTAGTCAGACTTTTATAGTGTAAAGCAAAGAAGTAGTAACTATGCCCCACTAGTAGATGAAAAACAAAGTGTATGTGACTATATCATCAGTCAGGTGTGTTAATACCTACAGTCCAATCGTTACGAATGACATATGATAAATACTTGTTTAGCTGACCAATTAAAAGTGACTATAAGGCCATATAATCTCATTTTCAAGAAGGAAGAATAAGACCTGGTATGTTGGGACCAGTCTCAGCAATCAAGAAAAGTCTGTTAATTCAGCTGGTTAAGGTGCTTATCCTCCGGTTACTACTAATTGAAGGGCCATTGCGGAGAGTTTGCAACCTGTCGGTTACTTCATGAATCCGCCAGTCACATAGCACAGAAGCTGTCTTTCACACTTATTTCAGTCACTGGTGGCCTTATGCAATCTATTTGCTGAGGATCCTCAGGGCATGCCCTGCAATTCACTCAACGGATCTCGGAACCTACTAGGATCTTCCTCGGTAGACCGACAATTCTGCAACTGTACACCACCAACAACCTACTACTTAGAGACCTCTTGCCCCTTGCTTTTGAGGTTACCGTTAGCCTATCCCCTCCTTACTAACAAGATCCAATCCATCTTTATCGACGAGCAAACTGGTACTTCGTACATCCCTTTGAAGATTAATCTAGTAAAGTAAATAAGGAATGAAACAACGCACTAGCCGCATTCTACAGGTGTCCTGAGCACTGCTAAGACCAGTGGAACACAATGATCACGGGAAGACCATCACCCGGTCCCGGTGTGACAGACTGCAAGTTGAATGAACCCCAACATATAATGTGCATATACAACCTAAACAGTAATCGAGAATCCAGAGAGAGAACCTCGTTGTTCCGAGCTATGATACGCATACGTAATAAATGAAAAGACATCAATGGTGTTAAGTGAACAAGTACTTTATAATTCATTGGAAACATTAGGAACATTCGTACATAAAATGAGAACTCATTGAAAATAAAAATAATAATGAAATAAGAAAATAATATGACTATCATATGCAGAAATATTATACAAATAATAATAATGATAACAAAAGTTAAGAGAATTGTTTAAGATGAGGACAATAACTGATTGTGTGCGCATTATCACCGGTTGCATGACAATTTGGGCAGGTAAGTACACGTAGTACAGGGCAGGTGACACGACCTTCTTGATCTTTAACCTAAAAGTCGATATATATAATAAAAGAACATATATTAAATATAACCGACAAAAAATATTAGCGCGACGAAACAATACCATAAACCCAAAATAATATATAATACATACCTCATGAGTAACATAGATCTCAGGAGACTCTCCATTGTTTCGACAAAATGCACAAAGAGCATAATCATATTCCAACCTCTTACGTACAGCTAAAAACACCTTTTTCAATGTACGAGGAATTTTCTGGCAACAAATGGCATTGACCCTAAACAATAAATTAGAACATAACACACTTATTATTTACCATGCATGAAGTTTAAGGGTATCCTTGTCCCACTCCTTAGACCTAAGTGAACAGATTGGGAACTGGTGATGTCTAGGCGGTTTTATCGGTTTCATGTTTAGTATTGCCACAGCTGCCCCAAATGCTTTAGCGAGTAACAGGTAGTCCGAAAACTGTGATGATTCCGTGGTTCTGGAGACTCGGTACTGCTCTTGACAGATATAAGGTGCTACATTGGGAGGAGTGCCATTGAGAATACCAGGATTCGGAGAGTATGGTTGGGGATTGCTCACACTACTATATACAGGTGCAGGTGTAGCATAGAAACTCGGCGCCATGAGTTTACCTTGACAACTTTATCAAAGGAAATAAAAGGGAACTTACTATTGTAATTGTTATTGCTGACTTGAGTTGAAACTCTAACTTGACTAATAGGTTGACCTGTGTGAACTCGGGCTTGAGTGATAGGATTGCAAGTGTGTACGTGCGATCCCAATACACCGCCGCCGCTGGAGATGTGATTGCTACTTGGAGAATATTGCTTTAGATACGCAGCAGGCTTATTCAGGTGACATTCATCATATAGTTTAGGACAAGATTCTCTAGACTGCTGGTTAACTGATATTTTGTTTAAGGCGTGGAGTAGTGTGTTACAAACCGACGGGACATTGTTCTCTACATAAAAGATAAGCTTGTCATGAAGAGACTCCTACCAAGGTCATCACTTAGTCCTTCCAATTTGAATGCGCGAGGATCGTACGCCGACCACAGACTGCTGCAAGGGGTCCGTCTGAAATCTATCATTTTCCTTAAGTAAACTTCAATCCTGTCACATTTGATTATATATACTGTTTAACCAATAAGAATACCAAACAACTGATTCTCTCTCCACATCAGGTGGGTGGAAAAGCGTGACCATGACAAATTGATTATTACAACCAATAGAAATTTCAAAAGTGATATTAGCGATAATTAGCCAATAGAAATTAAACTTTTTTTTAAAAACCGGAGGGTGGTGATGATATACTATGTCCCATTGTTTTTAGTAGTGTTGTCAATAGTGATATAGGAATAAAAAAATTGTGCACTGTGGTAGAGTATAATTCCTTTATAGGTAAAATTTTATTTCGATAGTGTCTCACAGTGTTATACAGTAATATTGACTGATGACGTTTCCAGCATAATTTATTCCTCATTATTATATCAAGGCACTACTCACACAACTTTCTAACTTCGCTTATATAATTCCAACCTTGTTTTCCATCCCTTGACTTGATTGGTAGTAGTATTTTCCATATTTCTGGTATGAGTGATGAGTCATTCCTATTGCACTTGTTGGGTGCAGACTCGATGATGAACAAGGGTTCAGTAATCAATCTCTCTCTCCACCTTCCTATATTACTTCTTAGAATTTTTAGGTTTTTTTATTTTTGACTACAGCTTGATTCCACACTGTATTTTTTGGTACAGGTATGAAATTTTTAGCCTGTGATATCGGTGGCCCAAATTTTGCAGGTCGACCATAGATGTCAGGTGTGCGTCTGCAGAGGATTGAACTCCGGACCATGTGCATGATCGGCGAGAGTCCTAACCTCTATGTCACCGACGCAAAGATCTGGGGGCCTAATACCTTACGCCTATGTATCCAGCACTGTAATACCAGAACTGTGCTATACAGGTACTGAATAAAATAACTGGACTTCACTTGTATTACACTGAATGAAAGTATAATAATTATACAACTAAGCATTTATACACTAATTCTGAGTGACTAACTGAGTCTCATTACAGAACTTTGCACAAAACTGCAGTATTTCAAGTGACTATACTCCATATAGTACACAAAGGCAGGAAAATGGATTCAAAAACATTATAATTAGCAGTCATTGTTTCCCTAGCGTCCTGAGGACCCCAACCAAACAGTCTACACCTCCCTATATGATTCAAACAGACATTGTCAAACGTTTTGGTTTAACTACTCCTATTTCCTAACCTGATCCTATATCAGCTAACATTTCCCATCGAGGAAGACGATAGCTAGGTATGCGCAATGTGTGTCCTAGGTGTTTTACCCTTCTTAAAACTAATCAAGCGGTAGTATATGTACCTCCAAAGTACATCTCTTTTTAGATTAACCTTTCATTATTCCCTAGTAGCCGATCCTCTGGTGTTTGAAACAACAGATACTTTCTGTTCAAACCTTCTCAGGAGATGTAAGTAAATAAAGCTGACGAGTCCCAACATGGGACGAAATGCATTAGAATTTTTGTATTATTCAATGATTCTGATTGAGTTGTACATTTCTCCATCTCTCTCTCTCTCTGTCGTTATGTTGAAGGATGAGAGAACCCCCCTCTCTCCTGCTTTCACATACACCTCTTGTTGTTCTAGAGAAAAACTGAATAAAACATAGAGGCGTTTATACATATATATGCTTCTTTTTTGTCTTTATTATTCATTGTGACTTTTTTTCCTTCTCTGCCGTTTATTTTTATGCATCTAAACAACAATGTGGTGCTAATCATCTCCTTCGTCGTCTATTGACACTTATATGATCCTTTTCTTGACCTTCTTCCCCCCTCGCCCCCCTCTCTGCTTTCTCTCTCTCTTTCTTTCCTCCTAGGGGTTTATATCGTATATGTATTTTCAGTGATCATCATTTCTATAAACAATCTTGTTTCTACAAGATCAATTCAATGTTCAATTCTATATTTTATGATCTTGTTCACACTTGTCTATAATAATAATTATAATGTGCTTTATTGTTGTTTTTTGTTTTGTTGTTTTGTGTACGTACATGCGTGAATGTACTCAAACTACACACAGTAATTATGTCGATTGACTTTTTTCTCTTTCGTTCTTCCCTCCCACCCTCCCGCCAAGTATATATATGTATACTTTTGTACCCGCCATTCAAATGACAATGATGAATATAAATTGAGTTTATATTTTCAAAGTTCAATCGTAGAATTAATTCTCCTGAGTTTATCATCCTCTTTGATTGACTGATGAGTTGTGTTCTAAACCGAAATGTCTTTTGTTGTTGTTTTCATTGTTTATCCGTTTGTATGTTTGTCAGTTTGTTTGTTTGTTTGTATTCTACTCTTTATAAATAGTCCATGTGTACATTATTGACTCAGTTGTGCCTTCTAGGCGCTGGATGATTTAGTTAATGTAACTTTCATTATTATCCTTTAATTCAGTCTGATTCTAGTTAGTGCCTGGTTACAGGGTAAAAGTTGCCTGGATTTCCAGTGAGAAGTCATAACCAATGTGTGAGGAGGGAGTTCCCACTGATGACATTAATTGGTTGGTGGTCACCCTAAGGTAGAAGTTAGAATTCATGGACTTGGCATTGAATGGAGTCCCACTGTCTGAATGGTATACGAGCTTATCCTTTAATCGGAAGGTCCTGGGTTCGAACCCTGTTGGTGTGGGGTGTGTATAGCCGATGAGTCCCGAACTAGGATGAAACAGAAGCTGTCCAGTACTCCTTGGTGGTTTTCAATGATTCTCTAAATGATATCAACCGGGAACAAATTCGATTTCGATTTATCCACTAACTGACTGGACCGAGATTTTAGGCGTTTAAGGATACGTCGGTCTGTTCCTAGTACGGATAATTCGACGATGTTTGAGGATTAACTTCAATGAGAAAATCAAAATTGAATTAAAAACAGATATTAACTAGTCCCCGTTGCATAAGAGGTGACTGTCGCAGCAAAGTGGTCCCAAAGTAGGACGAAGCAACTGTCCAGTACTCCAAGGTTTTCCAATGGTTCTCTAACTGATGCCACCCTGTGATCACTCCTGTAACCAACACCAATCTTTGCAAACCAACACTTGATAATAAGAATTAATTTTTTTAAATGTAAAATCGTGGTCAGATTTCACCACGAACTTTGTACATGAAAGATAATAAGTTTTATTCTCTCTTCATTTTTACCTTAAAGTTATTTTGTTACGAGCTGTCACTACCACATCATGAACATGACGATTGACTCCTCGATCCTAGATCTGAATGTCGAAAAGAAAGAAATGAAAAGACGACTGAGAAATCCATCTAAAAAGAAACGCGAACTGGCCATATTTAAATTATATCATTACTTTTGTCCAATCGGTTCCCAACGCAGCCTAGTGAAAAAACTCTTCAACCGAGCCACTGCCTATCCATAAAAGTTGGAATAAAAGAATTAAGGGTATATTGAAGAGAACATTTGCAGCCGTCAGACTGATTTCGCTGTACACCACCGTATACTCTTTAAGTATCCTGCTTATGTCAGTTGCAACTGGATTTACAAATTCACTGGCATATAGGAAAGACTGAGAGGAGGGAGTCTAGTAGATTTTATGATGATGTCTAGCTGTGGAGTCTTAAGCATGTGTTGACGTTCTATTTGGGACTTTTTAGTTGGATTTACCTACATTACAATGAGGGATGATGGTATCCACACAGGGAAGGGGACTCAGCTCTTTCAAACACATTCATGGCATGACCGACCACTTCAGTTCACAATAATCAATCGACCTGACATTCAAAACAACAGAGAAAAAAAACAGCTAAAAGAAAAGGCGTTTAGCGCAGAGTTACTCTTTTCGGTGATTTTATTCTCAATGTAGTAAATTACTTTGTGGTGACAGCTGGCTGCTAGCCAAATTGGTAGGCAGTAATTTACGTCAAAGTTGTCAATATTGGTCGTGGGAAAAATATGAACGAAAACTGATTCAACAACCGCCTACAGCAGACTTTGCGTAGGCGGATACAGTTAACACATAGGTGATCTGACATTCAAGAAACAGCCAAAAAAGCTGAAAGATTAACTTTCAGTGAGAAACAACCAATCAGAAGACTGTGCTTGTTTGGTTGAATAAGCTATAATAATGTACATGAAAATCTATAAATACGTGTTGATTTCCTTAATAAACGATCTGTTGCCTGGCCCTTGTCTTCTGTTGTTACAACTTTAGAAAAAAGGATTATTTTCAAAGATGCGCCGTTAGAATTGTAAATTTTAGGTAGCAAATATGCCTAATATAAAGAGTAAATAAGAAGACAGTTGCAGCGAAGAAAATTTTCTTTTCGACGAAGTCATCATCTAGGCTGTACATTCGTGTATTTATATCAAATGGATGGGAAAGTCCCAGAATAATATCCGGTCAAGGGTCAAATTAATAGAAATCAAAATTGGGAATTAGAATGCCATAATAAACAGGGGGATGGATAAAACAAACAAAATAGCATTAAAATAACTAAGAAGACTGACATTGTGCAATTAGGGGTTAGAAATGTAGAAATAACAAAATAGACAGGGTGTTTGGATAAAAACTAATGTGATGAATAATTGTTTATGCAATCAGGGATTAAATATGTAGAAATAGTAAAATGACAAAATAAACACTAAGTTCGGGTAAGAAAATATGGTAGTGTAAACAGGGATTAAGAAAAACTTGAAATAACATGAATCAACAGGAAGTTTAGAAAAGAAAGGCGATGGGATGGTGATTACTAAAAATTACTTGTTTATGATGGCCATGGCAAGGACAGGGGTTGGACGTATTTCTTTTGTATACAAAGCGTGGGTTTGAGCTTTTGTATAGCTAGCTCCTCGGCTATGCCCAGATGTCTTGATTTTACTCCCTTTGATGGGTTTGATCGAATCTTGTAAATGATTTTGAAGGATTTTTCGAGTGGCGCTGAATGTCCTGAATTCACCAGGTGTTCTGTCACCGAACTATTTACCCGTTTTCGTTCTCCTTTTACTAGCCAGGCTGGATAGTGTTCATAATATAAAGAGCGTTAATCT